ACAGGAGTAAGAAAAAATGGAAAGGTTCTGTGGAAAAAATATTACAAACATCGATTTAAAAAGAAAATGAGTTGAGCTTTGGTGTTTGGTTAGAACAGAGATTGGCAAACTTTGCTGTTAATGTCCACACAGTAAATATTTGAAGCTTTGTGGACCATTTCAGTCTTTCTACCACTTAACTCTGCCTAAGTGATAGGAGTGTGGCTATATTACAATGAAACTTTGGCCTAAGGGCAGTAAACCCTGGTTTTCTTTGAATATATACAAAGAAATACACTTTTTTTCTTAAAATGTAACTTCAATTAGAAAAGTACATACATTTTGGTTGCTTCTGGTAATCTCACCGGAGACATGTATCTGGTATGAAAAAGAAAAGGCAAAAATTTGAGCAGCAATGAAGAATTAATACTTGCATCTATTTGCTATTGCCCAAGAATTTAGAATTATTATTATTAAGGGTTAGACATTATTTGAGAGAAAGAAAGAGAAAGCATCAGTATTTGAATAAATTTGGTAAGGCAATTTCACAATCTTTTTATGTCTTTTACTAGATTGCAAAGGAATTTTGTTTTCAGAAAATTCAGATCTTTTAAGCCCAATGATTTTATTTGAGTACAGTAATTTTCTTTAGCAAAAAAAATTTTTAAAAATTAACATTTACATGTATTCCATAATCTTTCCATCAGGATAACTTAAACAGAAACATAAATGTGGTAAGAACGATGGCTTTTGAAGCAATAAGCTGTTTATTTTTAAGCCAGACAATGAGATTTTATTTTTCTCTAACCATGAACAGGAGTAAAAATTTTCATTCCAGATTTTTGTATTAAAAAATAGAGGGTAAGAATTTACAGAAAGATATTAAGTAGAATTTAAAAATTATAAGTAAATAAATAATGCTTAGAAAAATATTGTACTTGAGCCTTTCCCGAAGTTAGTAAATATTGGTACCTATTGGTTATTTGGTTATCCAAGGTATTGGCCTTATGTGTTTTAGCAGCATCGTGTCTGTATGAGATCCTTTATAAAGAAACAAGACAAAAGTCTGCATAAACAATATATTATTAAACTCTTTTTAAATCTCTTTTATGTTAGAATAACTTCAAAATATAACTTTTCTCTAGTAAAAGTAAATTTTTTCAAGTATAACATTTTAGAAAATTTTACAATAAAAAATCTACTTGTGAAAAAATCTATGAGGCTCTTTTGATAGAATTTAGAATTTTTAAAGTTTATGCTTTTCACCTAGACTTTCTGACTCATTGAGCATTTAACATTAACTATTTTATATTCATTATTATTTAATAACATATATAGCCAATGACAGTAGTTTCTATGTTGGCAAAAATATATCAATGGAAGATATAAGTTTTTTAATGTTTTATGGCATAGACAATACTATATGTTTGCCAAATTCATTTTATTTTCCTTCTGAGCATACAAGGAGACTACGTTTCTCAATCCTTATTACAATTAAGTTGAGACCATGTGATTGAACTCTAAACTAAAGAATGCGACAGAAATGTTGTTTGCCACTTCCAGACCCATCTTAATTCACCTTGTGTGATCCTCAATGCTCTTTCTTCCCCTTCCACTATGGCTTTTGTGCCCACAGTTTAAAGATGGCACCATTAAAACATGGAAAGAACTTAAGTCCCTGAGTCACTTCATGGATCTCATGAAGAGTAGAGCTATCCCTCTACTCTTCCAGCTAATCATACTGGAGTCTGATGAGAGCAAGCAGTAATCTATTGTACTAAACCACAGTGATTTGGGGGCAAGAAAAGGAACTTGTTTAAAGAGTTACTCTACCCTGGCAAATTAATTTAGTTTGACTAACACGTAATAGGGTCTACTGGCCATCAAAGGGTTGACTTCTCTAATCCCAGGTCTCCCCAAGGAGGGAAGTTCTGCAAAAAGTTGTTTGTCTGTCCCTTAGGTCAGGAAAGACAAATTGGGAATCCTGTCATCTCCATGCCCATGGCAGGATCTCATGCATGCAGCCCTTGTTCCTTCTCTTCCCTTCCTCACACAGATAGGAAGGTTCTTCCTGAGATGTGGGGCTGTTTTTAGGAGCATTCTGCAGGCTTGTACAAAACTAGGATGTAGCAAAATTAGGCTCGGGAAAACAAAAGTCCAGCAAGACTCTTCCGTTGATCCCACACTACAGGTCTACTATAATTTTTTTTTAACTTTTACTTTTACCATCAACTTTAGTACAGGTCTTTATATAAACCATTCCTGGGGAGATGGACACTAACTTTGCCTCACTCTAAAAAAAAATTCATGTTGAAAAAAATATGACAATTGTCGTAAGTTTAAAATAATTTCAATTCAGTGAATAACTCTAATACATTAAAATTTATGAGTCAACCCCAAACACAGTTTCTGTTTATGGTAAATAATGTCATTAACTAACAGATCTTAAATGCGAAAACAGAAGGCTGGCATCCCTCGGAGTTCCATACTGTCAACAGACTGCTCACTATACAGAGATCAGCTTGTACAGAATCCTAGAATCCATGTATGAAAAACTCATATATAAGGCAATCGATCATCAAGACAAAGACTACAAATATATCCCCTGCACTGCTACTGAGCCTCCAAGATGTTTATATTTAAAGAGCTCTGTAGTAAACCATTCTGAAAACTGTAAGTAAGATGCCAGGTAATCTTAAATCTTAAATAGTCCTTGGAAACTCTACGCAGACTTAATAGCTGTCTTTGAGAACTTCATAATAAATAAAAATAATCTTGGGAAAATGCTACTCTGTTACACCAAAAGCAACAATCAGTCTAAAGGAAACAGAACCTTAATATCAAACATTCTCAAAATTAAAATACAGGTGAGTTCTGTTGTTAAAATTAAATAAATTTAATCAAAATTCTACAGTGAAGTCTATGTGGGAAATACTGCATGTGATAATAAAAAATAGCTACCCACTACGCTTTGCTGCTTGTTTTGTACATTTTCCTCTACTCTTCAGAACATCTTTACAAGGTAGGTATAATTATTTTCATTTTATACATGAAGAAATGAAATCTCAGAGAAGGTGAGATTTGGCCACACAATTAGGACGTACGTAATCTATTCCCAGTCTTTCTAGATGGGCCCCTGATTCTGTAGTGTGATTGTTTTAACACTCATATATATTATGTCAACATGTCGTCTTCCTTCAGTTATTATTTTTCACTTCCACTATTTCTTCCTCTAAAGGTATCAGTCTATGAATAGTAATGGAGAGAACCCTAAAACACTATTCCAATAGATATGTCAATTTCTTATTACTTACAGAGATTAGCTTTGCGCTTCTCTTGGAAATTAAGTTTCTGCCAACTTGTGATATGAAATAGGTAGTTTTAATAGGAATCAGACTTGGAGACAGGAAATACCCAAACAATGTAATTGGCAGTATTATCAAAAGAATTGAAGGGAGAGTTACGCTTCCACGATAGAACGCTAGAGGTCTCCCTAAACTAGGTTTTACAAAACAATCTAAACCACCTTCAAGATTGGGGTCATGTAACACGCTACATACACTATTTACTTGTTTCTTTAGAACAAGTCATGTTTTTACATACATATGTATATTTTTAAAGGGACCTCTTCAAATGTAAACAGTACTTTTCTCACACTCATTTACAATAAATGCATTATTATTGAAATGCACATAATGTACATATCAAATATATTTGATCATCTTCCTCCTAAGAGTATTTCACACCTTGCATTTAGAGTGGCCTGCATTATGGAGTCCAACTCCTGCTAACAGGAATTTCCTTTCTTTACTGACCCTGTGTCCTCTCCCTTACATCTATTTCCACACTTTGAGAGTATAGCTTACTGTTGGGAGACAGAACTACCTGGGGAATGAGCTGACCAAGATATTTTTCCAAACATGCCACTAAACCTCTTTGTCAGTAAAGCAGGTAATCTCTGGCTTCATCTTCTGGTGTATAAAATGAAGGTTTTGGACAGGATTGGTGGTTCTGAATTTTGGCTGCACATTAGAATCACTTTATAAGCTTTAAAAAATGCCTGGGTCTCATCTTAGACTAATTAAATCAGAATTTGGGGAGTGAGAGGCAGTGGGAACGAATTATCAGTAAAGTTTAAAAGCGCTCTCACGATTCTAATTTGCAGCTGAAGCTGAGGATAACACAACTAGTTTGCCTGTGAGGCCTGGTCTAGTTCATTGTTTCAAGTCTTTATCTTGACTGGCCTGATATAAACTTTCAGACACAGAGTCTACAAAGGCCTAGGTTGCCCACACCTTTATCTTTCTCGAGGCATAATTATCTCACTTTCAAATTCATTCCTAGATGTAGGGTTTCTTCCTTCAGTTAATGGTGCAATGGGACAGCCTGCAAAGCCAGGGTAAATGGACAGATGTATTTTGACTCCTCTCGCCACTCAGTGCTGTGGAGATGAGTTCTTGTACGTATACTTTTACAAACTCATCTTTGTCAAAGCTAGTAATTACAAGAGAGAAGTTAACTCCTTAGGGACACCAGTGATGATTGTCCTCCACTAGGGATACTGACTTAGAAAACCAATGAGTAAAGTATATACATTTGCTATATTAATTAACACTGGCATAATCGGAATATAGAATCTATCAGATACCATGAGTTTCAGCTTGTATGCCTAAAATGCAGCAGGTGACATTGCTGTACAGAATAGCAGCACACCTTCAGCTACAGAGAGGGACCTCAACTATCAATGGCCTCAGGTGTCCATTGTGCCTAGAATCCAATTAAAAATGTTAACTTTGTTCCTTACTTGTGCTTCCTAAGTATCTCACTAAACATAAAACTTAAATCTGATTTGCAACATTTCTCAATTTTCTCTATAGAAATGAGCCTTTTCCCTCTGTATAAGAGTAAACTAAAAGCAGGTAAAACATAATGGATTCATTCTATAATCCACATGGTGACTCCAGTGCTGGAAGAATAGTTTCCCTTTCTAAAGTAAAGAGCTAATGTCATTATCCTAGGGTGGATCAAAACAACTATGTTATTAAAATTTACAATCTCTCCATAAAGTCGCTGTATAAAAACTGTTTTTTTTTTGGGGGGGGGGGGAAGTTGCTACCATTGAGATGGAAAGACCAAAAGTTAGAATAAGAACTGACTACTCATATTCACAAAAATAACTATATTCTCCATTTTAAGTTGATCAGATTCTACTCAGTGCCCACCGTATCTTTACTCAAACCAGTTTCTTCAGAATTTTTTCTTTCATCTACTATTAACAGGATTTTAGAAAAATAGTGTTATTGAGTCAAGATTGTGTAAGTTTTGAAGAAGAAAGTAATTCAATTCTCATAGCCCTTCTGTCCCTGATAAAATATCATGGTTCAAAGCTTACTTTGGTAAATATTTCAATACCTCGGTCTTTATAAGAAATAAGATTTACTATATGTTATGCATTCTGCTTACATAGTTCAAAAACACCTTACCTGTCCAAAGTGTCATCAGATCTGTACCGACTAATCGTGGCCTTTAGCTCATTTCTCTCATTTGTTTTCCTATAGCAAAAAGTAATAATAATAATAATTACACAAACATCGAATAAATAACAAAAAAATAGTTTATAAAACCTATCATGCATTTGGTAAAATTTTAGCCTATTCAGTAAGAGATGTATATGTTACCAAGAAAAGAGAGATTTGGAGTATCCAAATTTTCCACGGTTTTGACTTGAATAGAAGAAATTATGGCAAACCCAATTCCTTATGCTAATAAAGAAAGTCTTCCCTAAGTCTGATTATTTCTAATTAATAACACACTCAAATTGGGCATAAGGATGTGTATAAAAATTGGGCATAAGGATGTGTGTAAAAAATGACACAACAAGCAAGATGGTTAATAACTAATATGTACTGTTGTCAATATTGTTGATTTTTACATAATAGGCACTTGTTCTCTTATAATCAGCTATGTGTTGTCTGCAAAGTTTTAGGAGCACTATATGCCAGCACAACAGGCTAACTACAAATAGCTTCCTTTAAAGTTCAGCACTGTGGTCAGGGTTGAAAGAGGAGAACATGCTGGAGAAAGGAAGGGAGAGAGAGGGAAGAAATAAAAGAAAATGAGAGAAACAGGAAAAGCTGGGGGAAAAAAGAAAAGAAGAAAGTAAGAGAAGAAAAAACATAGATGTTGGAAGGAGAGGAGAAAGAAGGAGAGATAGGGAGAAGTAGAGAGATGAGAGATGAAGGCAAAGAGAGTTGAGGAAGACATAAATAAAAAAATGGAAAAGGAAGAAAAGAAAATAAGGGAGGAAAGGAGAGAAGGCTCAATAGTCTGAATTATGATCATAGAGGCAGTGGGAATATCTTGATCAGAATGATCAATCGGCAAAAGAAAAAAATGCCTTATATAACCTTGTGATACAGGGACAGCAAGGTCATTGGGGAATTATACTGGGTTTGCATATCAAAGCATGATTTGAAGCTGACAGATTAAGGGTATTCAATCAGAAAACAAGTACTAAAATAGCATATTTAAGATTTAATTTTTTAACTTGATTCATATATTTTTATTAAGCAAATATTCGGAGGTAAACAATACACAATGCTCTGTGCTGATGACTATGAAGAAATCAAGAATGAAATAACTATGGACCCAATACATACAATGCTAGAGTGACAAATTAGACATATACATCCAAAGTGGTCAGCGTCAGAAAAGAAGTTGAAATAAAGCCCAAGGAAGTTCTAAATGGAAGAAGCTTATTTCCAAAGAAAGAAATCAGAGAAGGCTTTATGGTTGAGATACAGTTAGAGCTGGGCCTGGGAGGATCAACAGATATGAACATTTTCAAACAGTGGTAGAGGAAATAGTATCGGTTAAGGCAAGAAAAAAAAAAAGTGAAGAAAAGTGCCTAATGCAATTCCCCAAGTTTAAGGACGCTGGGAATGAAATCATGATATGTGGTTCACCATCATGTGTAATGCGTGAATGCAAATAGGTGCTGTGGGGTCATCCAACCCCCTTCCCTAAAACAGGCCCTTTTCTGTCACTGTCATCTCATGTCTCATCAGCTACCTTTGTTCTTCCTGGCACTTATCACAACGCAGCATATTATCTTGTGTTTATTTATTTATTTTTTTTCAGTCTCTCCCTCTCGCCTTCAACTGAGATGCAAGTTCTACGAAAGCAGGGATTGCGCTTTGTTCCCAGACCTTACAATAGTGTCTGGCTCAATAGGGTAGGCATCTCTGCAGGTACGATTTGTGCTATCGGGCTTATTTGACACGTTTTAATGATCCAGCAGAGAAGTACACAGTAAAATTTCCTAGTTTGTTATCTAGGGTGATGAGAAGATATCATTTATTTTTCTTTTCCTTTTTAGTCTCTGCTCATGAGTAGTTCTTTGCACACACTATCGCTTCTGCTGAAAGCACTTCTTTCTGTGCCCCATAGCCACCAGTTTGGAAAACTTTCCTCCTCATCCTTCAAGCAGGAGCACCAACATGGAGGACTACTACCGATTTACTCAGCAGAGCTAGTCTCTCCATCCTCTCTATTCCCACAGCACTCTCATACTCTTCTACAAGAGAACCTTCCATGTTAAATGTTATCTAGTGTTTCAGTTTCTGGATCCATCTTTTCCCATGAATGTGAGAGTTCCTTAAGGTCAAGGGTGGTGTCTTAGGTAACTTTGTATTCCTAGCACCTGACACAACGTCAGCACATAGTAGGTGCTGCAATGCGGGGTTGAGTAAACACCAAAGTGGACACAGCCTCTGCTAATGGGAAGATAGTGTCAAGTGGACATCCACTTGAGCAAGTGCAAGGAAAAATATAATCTACGCTACTCTTTTAGGAAAATGCAGTTTGAGATATTAGTTGTAGGTCAAAGGGAAAATGTCTCAGGCTCAAAGATTTTGATATTGAAGATAAAAGTTCAGTGTGTAGCTTTGGCCAAAACGCTGTCCACCAACAGGAAGGGTTTAGGAAACCAATACAGTTTAAATAAAATAAGCACAGAAGGCATTAATCTCCTGTTATCCTAAAACACACTGAAATATAAACCTTATTTTTCCCAGTCACCCTTTAAAACAAGTATGTTTGTTCTTTAATAGTTCCACAGAAAGGCAAATAAAATGGAGGGACAATTTTCATTGGTGGCTGGACTCAAATGATCAGACACCCTTTGTTTAGTGTTAAAAGGGCCAACTAAGAACCAGGCTGTACTCTTCAAAACCATGAAGACAAAGGAGAAGGTACAGGTAGAATTTGCTAAATCACAAAATAGTCAGTGAATCAAATGAACTAAGGCTGGGAACCAGAAAACCAAGCAGATAATTTATGTAAAGAGCTTTAAGCTCAGTACCCTTAGAATAGCTTTAAATTATGAACAGGTTTAAAAGGATTTAGAAAAATTCACAAATAAAAGTTTCTAAAATAGACATATTCAAGGTGTCTACTTAATTTTTAAAGACCATATCATGAAAGGCAATCATACTCCTTTACTAAGTACCTCTTGGTGACGCCCAGGCTACTGGACCAGATAAAACTTGCATCTGATAAATAATTGGGATCTTCAGATGGGTGTGGTCGTTTGTATGTGTGTGAGTACAAATGTGTTCTCATAAGAATATTATCTATGTATTTGATCAATCAGATTATTTACATCATTGTGATTGCTGGTTTTGTCTGAATTTTCCTTCTAATTTGTCTTTGTCAGTTTATTTGTCACTGAGTATCACATACTGGTTCTCTACAAGCCTAGACATTTATAAAAAGTATACTATCCCATAAAGCGAGTGAACTCTGGAACTGATATGTCTGTATTTCAGGATTCCTTTCCCTCAGGTTCAGAAATATCTTATGTGGTCGAGTTTCTGTGGGAGCCCTTTCCCTTTCTTGCCAGGAGGGGTGGGTAGAGGATGCTTATTCTGTGCCTACAAGCTGTCTGTACCTTTGGAAGTCATGGAGCTAGAGAAGCATAGAGTTTGCCCTGTGAAAAGCTCTGATGATATCACAGAGTCTCTTTCGTGTTCCCAGAATGTCCGGGAAAGCCTGAGGGTAGCCACAGATATTCAGCTTGTCTTGAACAAGTCTTCTCAAAAACTACCATGTTTGTGTTTCTGCTAATGATGTAATGTGTCTGAAACACCCACCTGTCCAAGGCATCATGGGAGTTATGTCGATTGAGCACCACCCTGCCGTAATTTTCATCTCTGCAGAGAAAGAACAAAATTGAGTCATGTAAAAAGTTACCACAGTATTTAGTAAGCACAAAGTAAGGGAGAGAGGAACACAATTTTGGCAAGGTTAATTCATTGCGCTTCAGACGCAAAAGTACAACTATGTATTTATTTTAACCAGTAATCACTTGAAAGAGCACGGTGAAAAGAAACAAGTTTGTCAGTACCAATGATCATTATTCTAATTTATCCCATGAGATTGCCACTTTATTCAATAATGGAATACAAGTGTTTGTTGTTTTGTTTTGTTTTTTTCATCAGAGTGTGGGAACACAAAACTATCTACTTTGTATACGTAGAAGAATCTTTCTCTGTAGGAAGGCAAAAGTTTTCTACAAAAATGTTCTAAATTTAATTAAGCCCATTATGTTTGGACATTTTCATTTTAAGAACTTGACAGTTTTCTTTGACAAAAAGTAGGAAAATCATTACCAATATTTGTGGTTAAAGAGGTTGATCATTCACAAGAGACTTAGCTCATTTTTGAAACATGAGAGTACATAGTTTGTTTTGTTTGGTCTTTAAAATAACCCTATGAATTAGTCAGGAAAGACACTGTCATATCCAAGTCACAGATGGGGAAATTAAATCAGGAGTTTTGTGGCTTTCCTAAGGCCAAAAGTTTACAACTGACAGAGGTGAGTCTAGGACCCGGACCTTTTTATTCCAAATTTTTGCTTTTCCTATTGGTCAAATCTGTAAAAGACCTTCATACATAAAATCCCAAAGCCATGTCCTTCTTACTTTGTACAGTAGACCTGAAATTATAGGCAATTTTAGGAAATGTCAAAACATGTAGTAGAAACTTTGGCCTTGAGCCAAGGCCGAGAGTAAGTGCTGAACTTCCTTCACGTCAACCCAACCAAACCTGAATCACCACATTTCTCCTGGTTCTGCTCCACTAACTCGCTCAATACTCTGAAACCAGTTATGATAAAGCTGCGAAAGAACTGTAGTAGACAATTAAAAGCAAAGAAGAACAGTGAAACCGAAACAATTTCAGCAAATCTACGCCCTCGAAAATCCCTAGAGAACTTTACCATCTCCCTGTATCCCTTCCCTACATTTATGAGAGAGTCGCAGACACCAGACATGTTTTTACCTGAAGAATTACCATAACATATAGCCCAGAGCTTGGTCACTGGGAGTAGGGAAGCATCAGAGCCCATTTCCCCTCTATTCAGCCAGCTGCCTTGCCATCCAAGCTGGTTTCCTCAGGACTTCTCAAAAAGGCATGCCTGGCATAAAACCTTCATTCCTGTAACTGTAATTTGCCTTAGACATCTCTATTTTCACCCATCTGTATAAATATTTGCAACCCAAAATTTATGATCTACATTTGACATCACTCCATCACTAAGAAAAAAAAAAAAGAAAAAAGAAATGCCATGTTAGGATCTGACAGAAGCAATAAATGTTGCTTCAAAGAAGGAAATGGTTGTTGTCCAAGAGTGTTAACTCTAAAAGTTAGTGTGAGTCTCCAAATACCTCTATAGGCCCTTAAAATAATAAGGTTTACTAATAAGAATCAATAGACATTTTTATTTGACAGTTACAAATATATTTCAAATAATCATGCATACACAGTTTAGTAAGTTTAGAGTAAGTATCCTATAATGCAGGGTTTCTCAACTTCAGTGCTATTGATGCTATGGATTTGATACATATTTTTTTTTTCTGTAAAGTGTCCTGTGCATTGTAGGATGTTTAACAGTGTCACTGGCCTCTACTTACTAGATTTCAGAACTACTTCCCCTTTTTGATCATTAAAAATGTCTCTCTTGACCTTGCCAAACATCGCCTGGGAATAAAGTTACCCCTGATTGAAAAACATCGATGTACAGGAAAGACAATGGGTTGTGTTAAAATCTCAACTCCATCACTTAGCAGCAGTGTGCTATTGCACAAGATGCTTAATTTCTCTGAGCCTCAGATTCCTCATCTGTGAAATGGGGATATAATACCTACTTTAAGTGATTGTTGTGAGATTTAGTAATGCTTGCTATGTAAAGTATCTAGTATCAAGCCTGAAACATAAGAAGGAATCAAAAAATGTGTGTATATGTATATACATAATTTATAATAAATATATATATCTGGGCTGGAAAAAAATGTCTATTGTAAATCTATGTCGGTGAGGAGGTGATATGCCTTTGGTCATAGTGTTCAGATCGTAGTTGAAGCAAAGCTCAAAGCAGACAAAACTTTCTTGGTGCTAAGTCTTTTCCCTTACAACGTAATACCATATTAATCACCACTTAGAGGTATGTGGCTAGTTGGGACTAAAATGAATGAAGAATTTATCGATTTCACTTGCATATAAAGAAGTTTTAGATAAATTATTACATTTGTAAATCTGGAATCATACTTTTTGTTTTCAACTGACATGATCGACATGCACCAGGAATCTCCCTACCACAAACATTTATTTAGTTATAACAAAGAAACCCTGCTTTCTCTCACTAATGACTCACATTTTCTTAGGAACGCAGAAATTAAAAATGGTAGTAATGTTCTTGATAATCTGATGCTACTGATTTATGTTTAATAAATTAGCCATGCAACGAAGTGAAAAGCATTCGCTTTTCAGATGGCCATTAGCTTCCCAAACAGAGAACGGCTCTCTCTCTACTCATCCTTCCACTCCCCACCCTCTTACCTTTCTTCTTCAGGACGGTTCTTTATCCAGCTGTTATCCTGTAAGAAAGTCCTTCTCTTGTTCGCCTCAAGAAAATCTAATTGTCTCTGAGTGGTACTCTTCATATCTATCAACGGAAAAGTGAAAAATTGGGAGATGTAATTGCATAGAGTTGAGTGTGGGTTTGTTAACCTAGAAATCTCAAGAGGCACAACTGATTGCCCAGCATCAACCTTCTAGGCTGGCAAATCCGGTACTGTTTCAAAGTAGGATGCACCAGCAAGAAAGAACAACTCTCACACCCCATCATCAAAGATAACACATTAAACTGCCAACTGAAACTGCCCGTGCAGCTCGTGAGGCCCCATCTGGCACCCGGGAGTGTAGACTCGTGGGTCTGGGATAAACCAAGCCAGGTGTAGTGGGCGGCCTTTACAAAAAGAAATATGCCTCAGAAGTACACACAGGACTGTTTTAAAAGCATATAGTAAATAATACTCAATAAGTTATGGTGCCTTTGACTATAAATAACAAATATTTGATCTCACAGGAGCCAGAAACACAGAAGGTCACACTGATCTTATATAAATAATCTTTGAACTGCAATTACAGGAGTAAAAGTTGTTACACTTTTACTTTTAGCCTTAAGCCTAAGTTTAGAAGTGCTAATTAAATTAGACTGCTGCTTCTAAGCATTCCATATCTATATAAAGTAATTAAGACCTGTGAGTGGTTTTCCCCAGATTTTTAAGTTTTCTGAGTGAGGGAAATATCATCTACATTACCATTTCCTGTGGAAGATGTTTTTCTTGAGGTAAAATTGGACATGCTGCCTTCCAGGACAGATCTAAAAGAGAGATGGGGGTGGGGGAAACACAACAATGACTCTAAGAATATATAGGTGACCTTCCCACTGCTAATGGGACACATTTTTCAATGACATTGACAGTCCCAGGATGTGATATGATGAATACATGACATAAAGTGCCCGCTGAGAACCTGAGAGTTCATCTATTCCAATGTGTTCATTTTACAGATAAAGAGCCAACACCCAGAGTTACAGAACAAGCAACTGGCCATTAATTAATCCATTTATTTAATCAATAAATATGCATTGAGTGCCTATGATATGCCTGGCACTGAGCCAGAAGTTGGGGACAAAAAAATGCGTAAGATAAGTGTCTGGTCAGGTCCATAAGGAGACAGAGACATGGAATCGACAGCACAATGTGCAAAACGCCCTTAGAGGGGCTCATCGGCTCCTTCTCTGGGGAAGCCGAAGTCAACCCAGACACCTGATGAGTGATGAGAAGGGAAGCAGCCAGAGGCAGAGGAAATCACAGATCTGGGAAACACTGATGATTAAAGCCCAAACCTCCTTAGCCGTGACCAACCACTACTTTTAAGAGGTTAAGGAGTTAAGGCAACCCACAGTTCCTTTGCCTGGAACTGACTGAATTTCCGGGGCTGCATTATGACTTTGTGAATCCTAGGCACTTTTGCTTTTGTGGGCCCTGTCCTTCACACACACACACTCACACACACACAAAATTAAATATATTTATGTCTGTGTTCGTATAAAGATGATTAATAATTCAGTCTGGCTTCATTATTACATGTTTATTATTATTATATTCACTTTTTTTTCATGCTGGTAAAGGGAATTAAAATTAGAACCTTTTCGTGGGCCTTTCAAGATGTCGTGGGCCCTAGGCACAGCCTTTTCTGCCTAACGGTTAAGTAGGTTCTGGGTTTTCCCGAGTGTGGGACTTTTGGTTTTAAAACTGGAAGATTCTTGGGCAAGCAGCTGTGTCTGGTCAGCCTAGGTGAAGTATTATGTCTCTTACAGAGTTTATCCAACCAGACAATGTGTGGAATGTTTGAGGGGCATCAAATCTCATATCGGAAGCAGGTTCTAGGCCCAGCTTTATCACATCTAAGTTTTATAATGGAACCACTTGATACTCCCGTAAGATGGGGTTAATGAAACCCGCCATCTACCCCATGAAGTTATCGTGAGGAGCCAAAGTATAATGTACAGAAAAATCACTTTGTTAAACTATAAAAGCCATTTTGACTTAAAGTAGTATTATTATCAAACAACAGTTTATAGGTATTGCTTGGAATTTCTAAAAAGCTCCCATCTCTGGCCCTCTAATGCAAAAGTGTTTCCTACAATAATCTATCACAGGATCTGAAGTGGTAAAGACACATTCCTTTGGATCAAGGCATTGTTTCACCTGGAGTCTTTTAGAATGTAAATTTCCCTAGAGTTAATAAGAAAAAGAAGCTGTCAGTGCCCAGAACAGGTTCCCTTCACCAGTCTGGTGCTTTGGGGCTATGGGCTCAGGCTTCACCTCCTCTGGGGAACTGCCTTTAGCCACTACAACCTGTAGACAGTGACTGACTGACTCAGGATAAAACGTCAGCCTCTTGCCTCAAGGTAGAGCCAGTTCTGCAGGTAATTTGTGCTTCAGAGCTCAACATGGGGTCAGGCTGAAACTAGACCAGCAGAGAGCACATCCTGCTCAGCTCCTTTCCCTGCCTCCCCTTCCTACTTCCCTTTCTCCTTTCTCCTGAGACCAAGGCCCCCAACCTAAGACTAACAACTAGTGTAATCAATCATGATTTTATCTTCACAGAGACCAGCAGCTAGCTATTCACTCCATCTAGAGCTGAGAATCTGAAGGTCTTCATGAAGTTAGGAAGATCTGCATTTGAAGGATGCTATTTACTGACTGGGTATGTTATAGTTCAGCTCCCTCATCTATAAAATGAGATGAATTAGAGCTGTTTTGAGGATCAAATTGTAAAGTGTCTAATTATTGCCTAACACACAGTAGGTGCTCAGTAATTCTTAACTTCATGTTTCTATCACCTTGGAAAGCAAAGACCAAAGACACAGGGGAGATGTGGCTGGGCGTGGGGAGGCAATGGAGCAGCCTTAAATTTAGGCTACTGGACAGGCAGGGGATCTGTGGCTGGCTGTGTCTAGAGGTTGCTAAAACTTTGGCAGAAAGGGAAGTAAAAAAGCATCTAAAGGCAAACTTCAATCTCAAATACTTGTTCATTTTGCCTCAGTTTGGCCCTGCTTCTCTGAGTTTTTGACTAATCTATTTCCTGTTTCTAAAATGAGCTCTGATAAATTCTTTTCCTCTGAGCTGGTGAAGACCTGGAGAGTTCATAGCTGATTGAACCGGGACTCTGAACGCTGAATGCTTTTGCAGGGATTGCAAATTCAATTGTGAGATATGGGGCAGGGTAAACAGAGAAAAGGCATTTTATAATTATATGCTTATTATCTGTCTCTCCCAAAAGAATGAGTTTCCTGTGGGCAAGGCCTAAATCTTTCTTTTCTGTATTTCCAGGGTGTGGGGGACAGTAGGTGCTCCCTAGGGGCTTGTTATGGGCTGAATTATTTGTCTCCACCCTCCCCAGTTTCATATGTTGAAGCTTTAACCCCCAATACCTCAGGATGTGACTGTATTTGGAGATAGGATCTCTTAAGAAGTGATTAAGTTAAATGAGACCATTAGGGTGGACCCTAATCCAATATGACTGGTGTCCTCATAAGAGGAGGAAATTTGGACACACAAAGAGACACCAGCAATATGTGTGCCCAGAGAAAGGGCCATACGAGGCCATAGAGGGAAGGTGGCCATCTGCAAGCTAAAGAGAAAGGCCTCAGAAGAAACCAAACCTGATAATACCTGACCTTGGACTTCTAGCCCCCCAAACTGTGAGATTACAAATTTCTGTTAAGTCACCCAATCTATGGTATTTTGTTATGGCAGCTGTAGGAAACTAACAGAGTATTTATGGGAAAAGTGATTTAAACATTTCTAAAATAGCTAAGTCATTCCAAGAGCTTTTGTGCCATACTGTCCCTGACCTGTGCCCTTGCATCTTCAACTGTCTTACTGAACAGTTCAATTGCCAGTATAAATATCTATTAGCTGAGCACCTGTTGTGAACAGGTTACCTCACAGGCATTGTCTCTCATCCTCAAATAATCTCAATGAGGTAGCTATTATATAACATTTACCTCCCAGACAAGACAACTGAAGCTCAGGGAAAGTGTGTAACATGGTGAAGGTGATAAGAAGTAGAATCTGGCTTTTAAACCAAAGTCAACTCCTTCCTCAGCAACAAGAAATAATTCTCATCAAGAGTCATTGTAAGACTAGACAGGCGCCCTGGCATTAGAATGAGAGAGGGCAGGCAGATGGTGGGGCCAGCCTGACGCTCGACATTTCACTGTTTGGAGGCCCCATGGTCTCTGCCCTCAGTGCCTGGCAGCAGAAGAACCAGGGCAGCCTTTCCGGGAATCATTGCAGCTGACAAACCCTCACAAAGCAGCCTTCTCTGTGTACTCCCTGGCATTCCCTTGGCATATGTCCACACAAAACTTGTACACAAATGGTCATAGCAGCATTACTCAAGAAAGCCAAAAAAATGAAAACAACTCAAATGCCTATCAATGAATGATGGATTTATAACATGAGATAGATCCATATAATGGAATATTACTCAGCAATAAAGAAGAATGAAGTACAGATACATATTACAATATGAATGAAGCTTGAAACATTATAAATGAAAGAAGCCAGACAAAAAAGATGACATATGTATGATTCCATATGGATATTGTTTTCTAGATTTTCCTTGGTGACCTACCCATATTCCACCTCAATTCTCTTCCCTTTAGGCTCTGCTGGGTAAGGAGGAGAGTTCAAACAACAGTCATATTTTAGGTGATTTTACAGTAATTTATAGTTTATCTCACAGTTTCCACATCATTTTAAGAGTAATACAATCCTTACTTTACAGATACAGAAGCAGAGAAGTGGCTTGAGTAGCTGATTAGTGGCAAAACTAGGACTCAACCAAAGCTTTCTAGCTCAAGTCTCATCCTTTTTTTTCTCTATGCCAGAGACTCCGGATTGTAAGCACTTTTTGCATAGAGCTGTACGGAGAAAAGCAGGTATCTCCTCTTTACCTTATATTTAGGGCTGGCTGGCTCTAATCAGACCCAACATCCTGCTAGAGGGTCTGATATTTTCGCCCCTTGGATAGGTAGGCATTCTCCAGAAAGCCTAGTTAAATGGAATCGAATGATATAAGACATCCAAACATGCTCATGGCTCTTAACCTTTTTTATCTCTCTGCCAATTACTATTCTTGGGTATCCTGTAAACACCTCACTAGCTCCTCTCCCAGAGTCTCTGATATTTTCTGGGAATAGCCTCCAATGAACCCACTGCCTTCTCTGGGACATCCCAGTTTTATCTTGCTTCCTCTTCCATGTAAGTCCCTTGGCCTTTTATACTTCATCTTTCCCATCCTCTGAAACTAGGATGCCATGCACTAGGATGCCATGTACAAGGTAGGAGCAGTCATCTTGAGACCATGCACTAACCACCAGGACTAAAGTCACACACTAAGAATGACAGAGCAGAATGTTAGGAGAAGCCTGGTTCCTTGACAACGTCATAGAGCTGCCACCCTAGCCTGAATTACCTATCCCTGGACTGCTTCCTGCAGGAGAAAAATAAACCTCCTAGTTCATTCAGGAGATTGTTTTTCCATATTTTAGTAATTCGAGCCTAATGTTCTTTCTGCTTATCATGAGGCCATTGTGGAGCAAATAGAAGGCCTAAAAGTCTAGGGTCCTCTACAAAATAGATGAGAGTAATGACTCTTTTATTAAAAACAAACAAATAAACAAACAAAAAACACTAGTTCCTGCAGTATGTTTATTTGTTCAATGTTCCTAGCAAGAAGGATTACTTGTTGAGTCTCTACTGTGTGCTTCAGATTGTGCCACATCCTTTATGCATGTTATCT